AAGTGAGCCCTTTTACAGAAAACTATTAAGTAAGCAGTAGTCCAGTGGTACCTGAGTGACTGGTGTGTGGGTGCTTTTCCTTGATGTTCCTGAGTACAGCTATGCTGTCTGATGTGATTGGCAGCAGCCTCATGGAGCTGTGGAGTATTTGGAATGTGCTGATGTGACAGGCAGAGTTGCCAGACTCGATAAAAGTTTAGGATGCCTCCTCCGTCAGTGTGGGCTGCGCAGTGACTTCCTTTTGTTTGTTTGGGGACAGTCTCACTCGGTTGCCCAAGCTGGAGTGCATGCAGTGGCATGATCTTGACTCACTGCAACCCACACCTCCTGGGTTCAAGGGATTCTTCTGCCTCAGCCACCCGAGTAGCTGGGATTACAGGCATGCGCCACCACACCTAATTTTTTTTTGTTTTTTGAGACAAGAGTCTCACTCTGTCACCCAGGCTAGAGTGCAGTGGCGTGATCTCAGCTCACTGCAACCTCCACCTTCCAGTTTCGAGTGATTCTCCTGCCTCAGCCTCCCATGTAGCTGGGATTGCAGGCACCCGCCACCACATTGCTCTATTTTTTTGGTATGTTTAGTAGAGACCGGGTTTCACCACGTTGGCCAGGTTTGGTCTCGAACTCCTGACTTCAGGTGATCTACCCACCTTGACCTCCCAAAATGCTGGGATTACAGGCCTGAGCCACTGCAGCCGGCTCCATAAGGTAAATTTATATTTACCTTTTAAGAAGCTGCCCAACTGTCTTTTGGAGTGGCCGTGCTATCTTACATTCCCCCAGCGTATGTGAAGACCCCATCGCCACACACCTCCAGTTGATATTGATAGTGACATCTTTTTTTGGTTTGTTTTTTGAGATGGAGTCTCACTCTGTCACCCAGGCTGCAATGCTGTGGCGCAATCTCGGCTCACTGCAACCTCTGCCTGCTGGGTTCAAGCAATTCTCCTGCCTCAGCCTCTCGAGTAGCTGGGACTAGAGATGCAAGCCACTATTTTTTTGTATTTTTAGTAGAGAGGGTTTTGCCATGCTGCTCAGGCTGGTCTCAGACTCATGATCCACCCACCTCGGCCTTCCAAAGTGCTAGGATTGCAGGTGTGAGCCACCACATCTGGCCGTGACATCTTCTTAATGTTGACCCTTTCTCGATAGCATGTGCAGCGTGGCTTTCTTGGCATTCAGAGTGTTTCACTGAAAGATTTCTTCATATGGATTGTGTGTGCATATTTTAGCACATTTATTTCTGAGAGGTTTTTTTGGGGGGGTGTGCTGTTGCAAATGGGTTGTTTTCTTTTCTAACTGCTTGTTTGTACGTAGGAAGACTGTCAGATGCCAGGCTTGGTGGCTTAGGCCTGTGATCCTAGAACTTTGGGAGACTGAGGCAGAAGGATTGCTTGAGCCCAGGAGTTTGAGACCAGCCTGGGCAGCATAATAAGACCCCATCTCTATTTTTGTGTGTGTGTGTGTGACAGGGTCTTGCTCTGTCATCCAGGCTGGAGTGCAGTAGTGCTGTTCCGGCTCACTGCAACCTCCACCTCCCAGGTTCAAGCAATTCTCATGCCTCAGCCTCCCAATTACCTGGTATGACAGTTGTGTTTCACAACACCTGGCTAATTTCTGTATTATTAGTAGAGTCAGGGTTTTGCCATGTTGGCCAGGCTGGTATTGAACTCCTGGCCTCGAGCAATCCACCTGTCTTGGTCTCCCAAAGTGCCGGGATTACAGGCATGAGCTGTGCCCGGCCCCATCTCTATAGTTTAAAAATTAAGAAGGAAGGCTGTTTAGTATGTTACTTTTGTATCTAACTTCTTAGCAAAATCTGTCCGCCTCATTTTTCAGAGTAAAGATAATTATTTCACCTCCTTTTTCTTTAATGTCTTACTTTCCTCCTTGCCTAGTTTCATCAGCTAGGGCCTCCAAAATAATAGTGGTAACGGACGGCATTCTTTTGTTGCGAAGGTTGATGGAAGCTTCCATTGCTTCCATCCCTTACAAATGATGCTGGGCTTTGGCTTGATGGGTGTGTGTCAGGGTGTAATTTCCTTTATTGTGTGTAATTTAAGGAGGTATCCCTCTTTCTAATTTGATAAGGTTCTTTTATAAATTTAGTAATGAATTGTGTCAGATGCCTTTCAACATCTGTGATGATTATGATTTTAACATGTTAATATAAAGGAAATGAAAAGATGTTCTGATTTTGAGCCATCCTTTTCACATTGTACAAGTCTCACTTGGTTAAGTCTTTTGTCTGCTTTGCCTAATTTTCATTTTTGGAAAGTCCACTGCATTTAAAAAATAATGAATTTGCGTCCGTTAAAGCTAGATTAGTGGCACAATTAGGCAGCTGCTGCTGATCAGTTTCCTTTCTGGTGGGTCTCAGACAATGAGCAGTTTTCTTGTTCAGCATTTTGGGGTTAAAAAATTGTGGAACAGGTAGGACTTGCTGGTTGATTGCATTCCTTCTGTGAGTCAGGGAAGGAGGAGGAGGAAGAGCTCAGAAAATGCCATTTCTTTTACGCTTAGGACTCTTCAATCCTTCAACATTCTGAGTGGGCTAACAAGATTCCCAAAGGGAGCCTGGGTATTGGCTCAATTCTCTCAAATCCTCCGCCCTGTCCCCTTCCTGCACCCCTAGGAAGGACGGCACAGTGATCTGGTTCATCTACAAACTTTAGTGTAAAACATCTGTGTACAAGACTGTGTTCTCTAATTCCTGCGAACGCAGCAGCCGCATCTCCGTGTGGATGGGCAGGACTGTGGTCCAGGCCGGCTCTGCTCATCTGCCTGGCTGGCTGCTCCGCTGCGCAGGCTGTGATGCTGAGGGTGTGCTGCGTGTGCTCTGCGGTGGGCGAAGCAACCTCGGGCTTAAAAAAGTGTGGGATCCGACAGGGGCTTGTCACCATTCCCCACTGAGGAAGGGAGGTTGTCACTGCCGTTCTGTCTTCCACAACCTTAGACTTTTTTTTTTTTTTTTTTTTTTTTTGGAGACAGAGTCTTATTCTATTGCCAGGCACCAGGCTGGAGTGCAGTGGTGCAATCTCGGCTCACTGCAATCTAAGCCTCCTGGGTTCAATCAATTCTCCTGCCTCAGCCTCCTGAGTAGCTGGGACTACAGGCACATGCCACCACACCCAGCTAATTTTTGTATTTTTAGTAGAGACAGGGTTTCACCATATGGGTCAGGCTGGTCTCAAACTCCTGACCTCAGGTGATCCACACGCCTCAGCCTCCCAAAGTGCTGGGATTACAGGCATGAGCCACCGCAGCCGGCCCACAGCCATACACTTTATGGTCCCAACTCGGTCCTCAAACAACTTGAAGGTTGCAGAGTTCCTCATTGTCTCCAAGCTTCCTGCTGATGGCAGAGCCCATTGTCGACAGGGCAGCTGAAGCCTTCTGTCCTGCCTGTGAAAGAGTTTCCTTAGTCTGCCTATAGCTGTTAGAGACCTGCACATCATGGCAGCTCCTGGACAGCGTCTGTTTCAAACCCCCGGGGTGGAGAGGCCCAGCCTGTTCTTGAGCTCTCCGCAGTGCGTCTCCTTGGCTGCCAGGACCTGGTGTAGAGTGACAATTTCCTCTCCCACCTTGGTCAGCTCAGCCTTGAGTTCCTCCTCAGCCTCTGTCAGACCCTCACCCTCAACAGCAGGAGTCCGGGCAGCCACACCTGTGTCGACAGGGACATCGGTCATGGAGTCAGAGCAGACCTTTGTTAGAATTCAGGTTGATATCTTGGCTGGCAGAGTCACGTTCAGGTGGCGTCTGGGCCACTGTCGCGGGCGTTAAGGGAGCTGACCGGGCGGTGCTGGGACTGGCTCGCCGTGTACACACTCCCCAGCAGAACGGCTTCGGCCGGCAACGTTACGTATTTGGCGACCTAGGTAACTTTTTTTAAGCCCCAGCGGGGTTCATTTGCTAATATTTTATTTTGGATTTTCATACACTGATTTTTATGTAAACATCTTATCTTGTTTTGTTTTAGAGATAGGGCCTTGCTCTGATGCCCAGGCTGGACGGCAGTGATGTGATCACAGTTTATTGTAATTTTAAACTCCTGGGCTCAAGTGATCCTCCAGCCTCAGCCTCCTGGGTAGCTGACATTACAGGCACATGCCACCACTCCTGGCTAATTCTTAAATTTCTTGTAGAGACAGAGCCTTGCTATGTGGTCTGGGCTGCAGTTCAGTGTACACTGTAGACGTGAATATTTATCAATCCTTTTGCTGGAATCATTCCCTCTCCCATCTGTTTGTCTTTAAATTCTAGGCATGCACACACACTCCACCCGCGCCCCCCAACTGCAAAATACTGATGTTGTCCAACCTGCCTTGAGGAGGGAGAACTGTTTTTCCCTCTGTGTATCTCTGCTGGTGTCCAGTCCATTGCTGTGCTTTTGGTAAAACTTGACCCACAGAGTGTGGGAGGCAGGAAGGGAAGGCTTCTGCATTTACTTCTGGACCCAACATCATGGATCCATTAAGCGTATTGGGAAGCCAGCAGGTCAGGGGGCTGCACACTCTAGTTGCCTCTGGCTGAACTGCTCAGGCCCCTGCGTGCCAGTGATTTGCTCTGCTTTGTGAGTTCTCTCTTCACTCATATTCCTAGGCTGAGTTCCCCAAAACAAGCCTAGCACGGCACCTGTAACATGACCTGATTTACAGGGTATTTTGAACAGGAGCTACCTGTTAATGGCTTGGGATATGGCTAACGTTTACTTGACTTTCTTGCATAAAGTAACTGGTAGAATATGTGACATAAGGCTATTATTGCAAAAGCAGAAGTGGCGGGGGGGTGACTGAGCTTGGGCAGCCCTGGGAGGCAGACAGGCCGCATCAGCACCGTCCTGGCCATTTGTAGGTTATATGACCTTGGGGGAATCCCCTCCACTCTCTGAGCCTTTGTTTCTTCCCTCATTAAGGAGATCATCCATTCCTCATTGGACTATTGTAAGGCTTAAGATCAAACATCTTTCAAGGTACTCGGAGCAGTGCCTGGGCTCAGGATCTTCAGACTGTAACCATAGCAAACACTCAGATCCCAGCCACCCCCCCTTCTCTTCCCTCCAGCGTGGGAATGTGGAGGACCAACCTTCTCATTCCCATTTGCCCTGGAGTTCTTTCTTCTGAACTTCATCTAGCACCTGCTGTGCACCTGGGATTCATGGGTGGGGAGGTCAGGGACAGCCAAGTCTGGTGTCTGGCCCTCAGCTTGCCTCCGTCCCCGTGGCTGACACCTGGCCCTTTGCTCTGGAATCTGGACCCTACAATCTCCTACCAAAGTCTCAGCCCAAAGAGGGCTCGAGGGCACCCCCTATTGCTGAGAAGATTCCATAGCTACCCACGTCTCCCCATCTCCTGAGTGGATGATCAGCCCCAGCAATCCAGAGACACATTCTTGGATTCTGCTAGCTTTATTTTTCAGTTGAAAACTCAAAGGAACGGTTATGTTCAAAAAGTTAAAAACTTTGAATGCTGTAGCCTGGGGGCCCGAGTTCACAGGTGCCCCCACAAAAACAGAGGTCTTCCAAAGCATTCAGTCCCAGTGTGCCTACCCCAAAGACAGCAGCTCTCTACCAGGCTTCTGAAGAGCTATCAGTTCCCCTCAAAGAACTTCCTGCCTCAGGAGACTCCTGGATCAGGCAGGGAAAGCCAGGACTAGGCAGCTGAGGATCTGGCTTCGTGTCCCCCTCCACACAGTCAGTGTTCTGAAGTGGTGGCTTCCTGCGTGGCTGTTGAATAAGTGAATACCTTGGGCATGAACAGGAGCCAGGTAGAGCTCTCGCTGCAGGGCTGGGGCTCGCTAGCCGTGCTGTCTCTTGGTTTACAGTGGAGATGTGGAGGAAGAGGGGAAATTACCCAGACCAGTGGGAGAGTTCCATGTCCTCAGAAGTATTCTGAGCGCAGTGGCAAGCAGCTCTTCTTCCCTGCATTTGCAGCACGTGCGGTTCTGAGTTTCCCAGAATTCCATGCTGGTCATTCTGTCCCAGCCAAGAATCTTGCCCTCATCAAGGAGCTGGAATTAGAGTAGAAGGGGAGGAGTTTGAAGTCTTTGGCAGCCTAGTGCTGGCTTAGACGAAGTCTCAAACTGTAAAGAAGACAGAAGAGAAGTAAGGCCAGGCATGGGCCCCAGAGGAGAGGGGCCCCTGCTGTTTCCTGAGATAAGTTATGCCGGGGCTTCTATTACAGCCCCTGGCCCTCCTTAATAAAAGGGCAACTCTCCATCCACTCCCACCCACCTCCCTCTCCCCTTTCTGTAAGAGCAGCAGGGACGGGTCGATGAGTCCCTACACCTGCCAGGCCTTTGCAGGCAGTGGTGTTAGGCCCAGCCTGCTCAGTTCCTAGGAACGTGAACAAGCATCTGTGGAGCACTGACTCCATGTCAGGCTCTGCCACCAGCACCCTGGAGACAGAAGACCAAGACATACTTCCCAGCCCAGGGGAGGGTGGAACCTTAGCACACGATGCATTGAGAGCTCGGGATGCATCCAACCCGAAGTGCAGGCCAAAGGGAACTCTCACTGTGTGGGTGGGGTCTTCAGTACAGCTTGCAGTCCAGGCTGCTCTGTTTCCCCATCAAGTGTGGTGGGCAAGGGCACAGACTGGACACTCAGAGCTACCAGGGTAAGGAAGCGCTCTTCTATCCCTCATCTGCTAGGAGAACTGTTTATAAGTTGGGCTTTATTTAATTTTTTTGAGATAGAGTCTTGCTCTGTCACCCAGGCTGCAGTGCAGTGGTTCACTGCAACTTCTGCCTCCTGGGATCAAGCAGTTCTGCCTCAGCCTCCTGAGTAGCTGAGATTACAGATGCCTGCCACCATGTCCAGCTAATTTTTGTATTTTTAGTAGAGACGGGGTATGGCCAGGCTAGTCTCCAACTGTTGACGTCAAGTGATCCGCCCTCCTCAGCCTCCCAAAGTGCTGGGATTATAGGTGTTAGTCACCGTGCCCTGCTATTTATTTTTTTGAGATGGAGTCTTGCTCTGTTGCCCTGGCTGGAGTGCAGTGGCGTGATATCGGCTCACTGCAACTTCTGCCTCCTGGGTTCAAGTGATTTTCCTGCCTTAGCCTCCTGAGTAGCTGGGACTACAGGCATGAGCCACCATGCTTGGCTAGGAAGTGCCTTTTATCCTTCATCTGCTAAGAGAACTGTCTAAAAGATGGGCTTTAGGTGGCCTTTTCTGCCTTCTCTTTCTACTACATTCTGGTTCTTTTCCAGATATTTAATTTTCAGTAATTAGTAAATTAGCCGATTGGCTAAATTAATTACTAAACAACAAATTTAGTGTTTAGTAATTTTAATAATTTCAGTTCCCTGTTGAAATCTATAATCTGTCTAGTAAGCCTCCTATCTGAGTCCTGTGGGTCTGTCTATTATTGTCTGTCTCTGCTAGTTTTTACACTTAAGAGTTGTACCTCCCTAAGAGTGTTTTTTTATCACTACGGTGTTCATAATGATATTATCATGCCCAGCACAGAGGTGCTCAGTAAATATACATTTCCAATGTCTAAACGCTGTGCTGAGATCAGCTCAGCCATGGAGAGAGAGAGAGAGAAAGAGAGACAGACAGACATGGGTTCAGAGTAAAGCAGCAGGGGTCTCACAGAGCAGACTCTGACCTACGTATTTATCTTTGACTTTCCAGTGACAAGTTTTACAAGCGGATGCTCTGTGTTCTTTCACTAGTTAAAGGCAAACTAACCAGGCAGCTAGTGTGTGTTTACTATAGGTTAAAGACAAATTAGAAAGCGCTCTTTCCAAGGGAACAAAGGAAAGGGTCACGTATCCTGTGTTCAAAGAACTAATTCATCTGGCGTGAGACATATTTATATTGGTTACTGTTTTATAATGCTTTGGGGGCAGTTTTCCGCTTTGGGGGCAGGCAGCTAGGTTCTCCTTGCTGCCACTTTCAGTAGGATTTCTCAGCAAACAATGTCATTTCTCACACACGTCAGAATTTGCTCTCAACAACGCTGCTATGAACATCAGTGTATAAATGTGTAAGGCCCTTTGAATTTTAGGGGGTACATACCCAGAAGTGGAAGTGCTGGATTATATGGTAATTCTTTGTTTTGAGACAGGGTCTTGCTCTGTCACCCAGGCTGGCGTGCAGTGGTGTAATCTTGGCTCACTGCAACCTCTGCCTCCTGGGTTCAAGCGATTCTTATCCTTCAGCCTCCCAAGTAGCTGGGGTTACAGGCCTGCACTGCCACACCTGGCTAATTTTTGTATTTTTAGTAGAGATGGGGTTTCACAATGTTGGCCAGGCTGGTCTCGAACTCCTGGCCTCAAGTGATTGGCCTGCCCCAGCCTCTCAAAGTGCTGGGATTGTAAGTGTGAGCCACTGGACCTGGCCTATTTTTAACTTTTTGATGAATTGCCATACTGTTTTCCATAGCTGCAGCTCCATTTTAAACTCCCAGTAAAGTACACAAGGGTTCCAACTGCTCAGCATCCTCGCTGACACCTGTTATTTTCTGTATTGATTATGGCCATCCTAACGAGTCTGAGGTGGCATCTCCAAGTAGGTTTTCTTTTTCTTTTTTTTTTGAGGTGGAGTCTTGCTGTCACCCAGGCTGGAGTGCAGTGATGTGATCTTGGCTCACTGCAACCTCCACCTCCTGGGTTCAAGCAATTCTCCTGCATCAACCTCCCGAGCATCTGGGACTGCAGGCATGCGCCAGCACACCCAGCTAATTTTCTTATTTTTAGTAGAGACATGGTGTCAGCACGTTGGCCAGGCTGGTCTCAAACTCCT